ATGTCTTCGTTATAATAAATCTTACTGATAGAAAATTTTTAAAAACAAATGGCTTTATTTGAGGAAATAAAATTCATTACATCTATTTTAATTACAATACAATTTGTTACAATTGCCTAGAAAAAATAAAAGTAAAAAAAAAAAATTAACAGTGTGCTCAGTATCGAAATTTTAAAATAACATTGTGCATTACACGGTTATAAACTGATCATTACTAGGAAGCATAGTTTTATTTGTATTAGAATTTAACCCACGATAAAAGTAATGTCTCTTTAATATTTGACGAATGGTGGATTTTCGGTACAGATTTCAATTGTAAAACAGAATACTTTCTCTTAAATAAACTTAGTAATAATACTAAAAAATTCCTAATACACGTTTATTCTTTACATAAACGATTAAAGCTTACTTACATTCATAAAAATCCATATAAATGTTGAATGATACGCACTGAGCCATTAGCAATAATATTAAGTATTTGTGACATAACATATAACTTGAAGAGGGATAACATTTTGATATCTAGACAACATTTTGTTTGAAAGCAAAGAGGTATAAGGCTGTAAATACGACGTCCAAATATGGATTTTTCATTTTGCCTCTTTTCTTTTTTGATCAACATAATTTAGTTTTCTAAAACATCTATGAATTCAGCTGAAAACAAGTTTACGATACGTTTAAAAAAATGAGAAATTTTGTCAATGCATTCCAAATTTATTATTGTATTGATTTTGATATATCTATTTTTTTTAATGACGCAAAAATATGGGCTATTCTCCAAATTAGTAGTATTTCGAGTGTACTTGATCTCTGATTTTTTTTCTCGATGATTTTTTGCTATGCGCTTGGCATGTCTGGCAGCATTCCTAAATAGCCATGCATAGAAATGAAATTCTTCTTCATTCTCTTCCTCCTCGAGCCTATAGGCATTAAAGGGCCTCGATCCAGAACTGCCTATTTTCCCGATTCCTGCTTAGCTTTTTCATTTCTGCGAAGGTCTTGCCTCTGGTATTCCCAATCCTCTGGATGTATGACACATGGGAGATTCTTCTCATTTCATCCATGATTGTTTTCAATGAAGGAATTTCTAGTCGCTCTCTAATTCTATTACTTCTGACGCAGTATCGCCATTTCTTTCCCGCTGCTCTACGCAAGAACTTCATCACAGTGCCAGTAATCCGGCTGATATACCCGTTGATTATCACTCGCCATATTTAAAGACTGGTATATACAGTGTTTATCCGAAAAATAATGCAGAATTTTGAGTTTTCTTTAAAATACCCCACTATAGAACAAGCTCTTTACGTTTGTATGAATATCAACGCTTATTAATCCTCTTCCAAACGTTAATGTTTTTTTCCCTTCGTAGAATTTTGCTGTTTAGAAATAATTCAGTCTTTATTAAGATTTCGACACGTGATTTTCGTAAAATTTTGTTTTTCATGTTTAAACTCGGCCTGAATGGGATCCAGACAGCCAGAAACATCAATAAAGTCTGAGGAGAGAGCAGAATTAATCAGTACACTATTCAACAGTGGTTCAAAAAATTTTAAGGGGTGACTTCAGCGTTGTAGACAAAGAAGATCGTAGAAGGACTTCATCTCTTCATGACGATAGGCTTTGGCTGAAGAATACCCCAAAACGACTGTTAGAGAACTTGCAGGAAAACTTAAACCAAGCAAGTCGATCGTCGATGACTACCTCAAGGTGATTGGATAGGTAAAAAAAGTTTGATATTTGGGTTCCACAAACACATTAAACGACCGCCAAAAAAAAACCAGCGTTATGAAGTTTGTACTACACATCTTTGCTAAAGCAGGAACGACCCTTTTCTGTTCAGAATTGTTGCTTTTGATGAAAAGTGGATAATTTACGATAACAATAGACGTTCTGGACAGTGGCTCGACAAAGGAGAAGCAACAGAGCATTTTCCTAAACTCTCAAATCATAAAAAAAAAGTGATGGTTACTGTTTGGTGGGCTTGATTTCTTTTGATACACTATAGCTTCATTTAAGAATTTTTAAGAAGAAGAACTCAGTATTTATCCTGAAGATACGTGGCACCATCTTAGCTGCGACGATCTTCGACCAATATATTCTTTGAGCTGATTATTCAAGCTATTGCCGGATACATTTTTTTTTTTTTTTGGCACGAGGATATCATTGCGAATGGATCGCCAGATAGTATACAAGAAATGGTTTTATACAATCTTTTAATTTTTAATAGATCCTGTAGCTAGTAGTAACGAAACTTTATATTCATTTTACACTTATTTAGTTTCTATTGATACTGTGTCCTATCGTTTTGAAAATCAACATTGATAGGGGTCTGTAAATCATGGGAATAGGAAATGAAAAAGAAAATTAATATATTAATTTTTAATAATTTACATTTTTATTATTTTCACATTACATTTATTGTAATGCTAGTTTATCAAGGTAAGAATTTAAAAGTTTATTTACTTGTGATGAAGAAAGCTAATTAATACCTCGATTTTAACTGATAAGTGCCAGATGATCGTTTGCTGGAGTCGTGAATAGGAATATAAATAAAGAGAGGTTATAATGTCAACACGTTGGGAGTAAAGTCGCAAAAATTAATTTGCTCCTGCATCTCTCTAATAGGCGAGATATTTAAATCTGTTTTCGGTGCTACTGTACAGATATCACTCCACTTTCTCTGGTAACTAGGTTTGGATGCACTTCTAGCAACCCAACCATCCCTAATGTCAGAAATGGCAAAGTAAGAGTATCGAGGAAAAAAAAAAGAAAAAGATCGGACTCCATTTTTATCGGTGAAACAAGATCTCATGATCACACTATAAATGGATTCGAGAATGGCCGAGTGTGTCCAAAAGCAGAAAGAAAAGCCGTCTTGTAAGTGTCAGACCTCAACTGAAAAGGACCTATTGGGCGTTTGTTTTTACTTATTGAGGGAGCGTAGTGAGTCAAAAACAGCATGCAAAGCAGCAAATGTATTAATATAAATTAAATACATCATATAAAGCAGCAATGCATTAATATAAAGTAAATACATCACATAAAGCAGCAATGTATTAATTAATTTATGGTCCGAATTTAAGAGAAAATGGGCGTCGTAAATCACGATCTACATAATGGGAGATTACACTGCAAACACCTCGTCATTCTTCGGCTATTCTTGCTATTCCATTTATAGTTCGATTATGGTATCTTGACCTATTGATTAAAGTGGAGTGACCTTTGTACATTAGTAACTTATTTCGTTCAGAGGACTGGGTTAAAATCTTGGGACACTTATTATTGTGTTTTTTTTTTTCTTTTTGTCCTTAACTGCACTTTGTTTGTTTTGTCCCCTCCTGGTTACCGATTTCTGCTAGTGACTGAGTGAATGGTGTTTTAATACTAATCTGTTTATTTTCATTAAACAGGTACAATGGCGATCACCTAGTACAGATTAGAAGGTGAAAACAGCGATACCGCCGCACAGTGGTACGAAAGACGGATTTTCGTTGACATGAGTGTAAAACTCGTAAATGATGTCAGATTAACTTGATATTTAGTACACTTATGTTTTCAATTCAAAGAAACACGAATATGACACCAGATATGAATGAAAATGTCCACGAAAATCTAAAAAGAATCCTGGTTTCTTTGTTTAAACCCGAGGATTTTTTAATGTGACATTAAATTAACTTCGAAAATGATAGAGATTCTCATAAAACGTCGCAATTGTTGATATCTATTTATAACTACTGTATATATTACTACATATATAACCGTTATTTTAACATTTTTTTAAATTAAAAAAATAATAAATCAATAATTATAGTGTATTTATATGTAATAACTTAAAAAATTATTAATTATAAATATTCATTTCATAATAGTTCTTAGGAAATAATAAACATTTTAATTTATTTTTATTACAACAAATTTATAAACTATCGATGATATTCTGAACGCCATTGATACTTCCGCACATTTTCCTATTAATTTTAGAGATCATATTAACAACTGATGCAGATCATGTCATAAAGCTTCAGACCAAATACTCTCAGATTAAATTTACCGTCCTGAAATTATAACGACTTTTAAAAAGAATAACTGTTAAAGATTGAAAACAATTATATTTTATTACTAACAGACAGTAATCTTAATGAAACAAGTAAATAAAAGTTGGGTTTTCACTTGAAGCCGTCTTAAACTGGTACCCATTGACCCCACCATTTATATAATTTAAAACTCTAGTTCATTTAACAGTGGTGTGTTTGTTTATTTACTTAGATCAGAGGAAAAATAAAGGATGGTTATATACGGTTAAAATAATAATATAAAAGTTTAATTCTTATCTAGATAGACAAAATTAAAAATTTAAAACAATGTAAACGAAGATTTAATATTTAATGTAATTTTTTTTTATTGTTTGAGGTATTTTTTGAAACAAATAACTACAAAACCTTTTTTTTATTTATGTTCAATACAATTCTTAAAACTAAATTTGGGAGCATGTCTAATTAGTTTATGTAGACTCCTATATAATTATAGGAGATATTAGTACAAAGCTAGAAATTGTTTTATACATACAAACATTTATACACACGAAAATAATTTTAAATATATTTTAACTACATTTGGGTGGACAATGGTGGTTTAAATTAATATGAATTTATCTTTAACAATGATTGCTAAAAAGTTGTAAGAATTAAATTTTCCGGTGGATATCGAACATTTTTTAAAATCTCAGAAATTTGATTTAAAACACCAATTTTGTTAACAAAAACTGCTAGTTAAAATAGAAAAAAACATGTAGGGTATATCATAGGTATCATCTTGATCAAAATTTACCCCGTTTTCTGTTCTAATTAGTCACTATGAAGTCCCAATATTTAAAGGGTGGTCCAATTCGTCTTCCTAACTTTTCAAAAATTACTTACAAATATGATTTTTTTTTTACTTCATTGATGCAATACAGGTGTAAATAATAATTACTGTTTTAATGATTTGTCTCATATTTTTAAAAACCTTCTATTCAGTTCAATCGGTAACTTTCACGGTTTTCCTTTTTTTCATTTCTTTAATTCCTAGAAATTATCGAGCTTCACAACGTACATTCTTAAGATCCATTATGCACCAATCCACATTATTAATTTCTACAAGTTAAGGGAAATCATCTACCGCTATCCTTATAAATGACTTTTATTTCGATAATCAAAATGATACTTCATTACGGAAAATCAAACTTGAAATGATTAAATTCACATATGCATATGGTCATATGTTTTGATAACTTTTTGATAGGAAAATCTAGTTTATTGAGGCATGTTACGGAACCTGAGGATCAACTATCGATCATGGATGAATGTGGTAGGCGTAGTTTTATTATGTATATGTTAGTTTTGTACATAAGATTGGTTTCTTCCCAAATATCGAAAATAATATTTTAGTTTGTAATATGATTCATGTTTATGGTGTAATCTATTTTTATCAAATTAAAGTTATGCAAAAATGAATCGAATTGGTCATGATTTTTTTTTTCGGAAATCGTGAATGACTATGTTATTATGCATTTTTGTAAGTGTCAATTTCGATATAAATTAATTAAATGAAATATTTTAAAATTGCTATCTGTGTAATATTATTTCATCGATTGAAACAGAAACAAAAATCCTCCACATACATTCAACAGCTGATTTGTATCAACAATTGGTTCCATAATATATTTATTTTTTATAACATGAAAGCTTTGATGCCTATTGACCTTAAAATTTGGAAGGTTACGTTACATCATGGAGATTATGTACATTTAGGTTAATCCTCACAGCTACACATCCCTACTGAGACTAGATTCTTCCTCTACTACTTTCTTGATACCGCAGTTCTTGAAGATCATGCCAATAGCTTCAATCTTGCATATATTATGATTTTTGTTGAAAGACCTTTATGGCTCACTGGTATATTTTGTTTTACTGTTGTATTTCCTGTCCAATAGAACTATTCAATGAATGGTATATAATTCGAGATGAACCTATCTGCAAGGTATAGCAGGATGGTGAATACATACCCTCTAAGATTCTCGAGCCAATGACACTGTTTGTTACTACATTGTTTGACAAAAGCGTTTCCTAACCAGGGCAGTATGATTGTTCATATACTTCGACGAGTAAACTCAACTAGGAGACATCAATATTTTCTGGTACTACTATACCAGTGTCCCACCATTTTGATGAGTAGGCCAAGATTAGTGTTGACCAAAATTGGTCACTTGCACTTTGCAAGACGAAGACAAAGATCGGCTAACTTTTGCAAGGCCAAGACTGAGATTGGTAAAAAAATCAATTTTTAAAATAAAAATTAAGGTGAAATAGTTACGAATATTTGACAATATGTAAATAATTAGTGCAACCAACATACTATTGCATTTAATTCTTCTAATTTTTCATTCGGGCTTAATGATGTTTCCTATATCTAAAAAAAATACAGTGATATCTCTATAGTAAAAAGCTAATAGGTAACTGCAATACTGTTGCGAGACTCTTGCGCAAGATGTAAGGCCACGATCAAGACTGAGTGCGCAAGACCAAGACTCGTTTAGGCAACACTAGCCAAGATCTCATGATCACAATGTACATGGAATTTGAAGAACAGCCGAAGATTGAAAATGTGTTGTGTTAATTGAATTTATTCAGATCGCGATTTACAACTTCGGAAAACCCCCTACTAGACATTTTCAGTGAAAATTGGGTTATTAATTAGATTTAATTAAATCTCTGGGTAATTATTTAGATGGGGAACGTAAGGATTACGCTTAGTTCACAATCACTTCGGTCGCACTTGTTCACGGAGTGCCGAATGCATCCGGGTTCATCCGAACGACTGTTTTCAGCGTTTCATCAACAAGTGTGACTGATTGTGAACCACGCGTGTGAACCCGTGCGGTCCTCATCTAAATAATTACCATACCTATTTTCGACTCCCGCTCACTACAATCGTACAAAATGAATATACGAAACCAGCGGGTCCTATGCACTTGAGGGTGGCGTCATACAAGAAGGTTCGATAATTTCCGTCTACTTTCGGATACAGTTGGTCATTTTAAGGATTCCATTTATGGTGTGATCATGAGATCTTGTGCTGACCATACATCAAAGTGGAGTGACACTTGTATATCAAATGAATTTTGATTAGTCATTAATGGAATTGATGACTATCTGTATACTATAAAATCCTTTGTTTGATTTCCATTTAAGCCATGAGACCTTCAACTGCACAATCAACTGAAGTGAATTGAGCGATTCATCGAATGCCTTATCTGCATCGTAAAATCATTAATTTTTTCAGAGTATTTTTCCGATAGTCTGGCAATGTCACCGTGACTTTTTAGCGTTTTGATGGAGCATTCCATTCGACAAATGAGTGTTTACACACACCTGTAGTGATGGTTTTTGACGCAGATGGAAAAGATTCCTCCCTTACATCCAGATATCAACATAATAATACCCATCCTGCTCTAATAAAAATGACACATAACAAAAGCTGGTATATGAGTGTGGCATATACTATGAAGAGTCATCATAATCACCTACATACAGCATGCATACATATATTATTATTATAGCGCTACGGTCTTGCAAGAGCCCGGGTCTCCTCCACTCCAGGGCCTTGGGCTCCATCTTCGAACGCCCAGCCGCCTCAGATCGTCTTCAACATCCTCCAGCCATCTGATCCGAGGGCACCCTCTACTTCTTTTGCAAACCGGCTTCTCATGCAGCATCTTCTTTGGTCTGGCATTCTTTCCACATGACCTAAATATCTGATTCACACATATAGCTATTGTGCTATTATATTCAATATTGAACTTGACCGTTTCTGATAGGTTGTTACGGTAGAAGCCATTCCAGCGCACCTTATGCTGTATAAACTATTCATTACGATTAATTAAGGCTGCTAATTACGAAGACGTTTTCAGTCTTTGGCGGGGTTCGATTTACAGAAGAGTATACCATTGTGAAATACCTCTAATCCCAAACCGGAATTTCGCGCGTTTTTTACCGGTGTTGTTTTTGAACAAGAACGGAAAACTATGAATGATTTTTTTTCTTTTCCTCTGTCACTATTAGTTGCTTTTTTTGTAAAAATGTCAACGAGTAACGACTGTAGAACATTTATTTTTACGGATAATAGATAGCTCATTTAAAAATTAAAACAGCGTGTTGACTATTTTATTGTAAAAATTTGGTCTCTACTGTTTCGCATTTTAACAACCACAAAAACATCTTCAGGATTAGCAAGTGATTTTTTTGGTTTATCGTTAACCTCAAGTTTATAAAATGTTTTGCACTTTGTTCGGTAAATGTTTTGATTGCTTAGGCAGAATAACGGTTCGACCAGAGGATTACGGGGATCTGGTGCATATTTATTTAATCCTCCAGCGTCGAATATACATATACTCACATATTATAACAACTTGTATTTAAATAACCTTATAATATGTAATCTACACATGTTGTAACCATAACTACTAAAACTATATCTTTCATCCATAGAATGACATGGAAGTCTTCTTATTTACACAATATGTTTTACTCTCTCTGTTACATAGAAGCGGAATCACGCTAGTGTTTTGGTAGATCTATTTGATCGACGCAGAACCCGTCCTGGAGGGTTCAACTATAGTTGACATCGAAATTTATTTTGTAATTTCGAAATAGAAGGTCACTTTAATTAGAATTGTCACATTATAAACGTGCAAAATTAGCAGTTGTAAATAAAATGTGGTTCCGATTGATGTTCTCTGACAGAGCTTAGATGGCTGATTTACAATATTAGTTTCCTCTAAAGTACCTTTAATTTTATTTATTTGAAACAATTGACTATTTCACATTAATTTGTAATATGAAAAATGGTGAAATATAAAATATGAAAGAATTTTATAAATAACTAAAGGATAAATAAGAGATCGTGACGGAGAATAGTTGTTATTGAGGAACCAAAGGAATAAGAGCGCACCCGAGCTCGCCCGAAAGATTAAAACACGCTTCCATACGTATCATGAAATTAATATAATACGGACTCCGTCAATATTATATAAATATACGTATGTGGTTTTCATAAACGCTATTGTTGGTATTATTTAATATTTAATTGTATAGCTTACAGTGATATAAATATTAAAATATGTATATATGAGGGTATTTATACAAATAAAAATATCCACAATGAAATATATATAAATATAGAGTATATAATTTTTACTTTCTTTTCGCTTTGTCTGAAAATACTTATTTTTGCTAAGAAGAAGGTGGTAAGTGAAAGTTGTGTGATGCGCGCACCGCACCAGATTTTTTTTATGGAGCATTTTGCTAAACTTTGTAGCAGCAATTCAATAGATCCAATTTTCCTTTTTTTCACTAATTTATCATGTTCCTCTGAAACGGAGGAATCGTGAGGAAGTTAAGTAAATGGGTTGAAGAAGGATTTTTTACAGTGCATTTAACAATTGTCACCTATGGCTGATATTAGGAAGTGTAGGATTAATTTTTTCTCTTTTATTTTCGTCTCTTAATATACATATATATATATATATTTTTGTATTATTATTTTTTATTTTGAGTCATTTCAAGATCATTCGAGTCATTCAAGACCAGTCATTACAAACTCTGCCTGTCTTGGGATGCTTCTTTTTAGGGTACTTTCCTTTCAAGGAAGGGGTGGGGAAAATGAGGTATTTATTACTTCTCTTGTGTTTATGCTGGGGAACTTTTTAATTTTTAATGGTTATCTATTTATTATTACCATTTGGATCGCTGGCACTCATACTCTACAACAACACTAGAATGTGAAGGCTTCGATCAGGGGTCTTTTTTGCAGGTTAGCTCCGCCAATTATTTTTTATATTAAATTGTTATTTTACGTGATTAATGAAAATCACATGATATGGAAATACTTAATTATAATTAACCTAATTCAGATTAGTTTAGTGATGTTAGACACTAGTGAGAGATCATTATTTTTAATCAAACAAATAAGCAACAAAGATCTATTTAAATTTTTATTTATAAATCCGACACGATTTTTAAATTAAAAATCAAATATAATAACTATCACATGATTTTGTGAAAAAAATAATCATCGATTCCAAACACTGCTTTATATCAAGCTATTGACTGGCCAGTTTCTGTGATCAGTTTTTTATTTGTTCTTTTATTTTAAGTTTTACTACTCATGTCCTAAACAGCTCCGGTTATCGTGTGGTGAATTTTTTACAAAAGTATTTAAATTCTTTTTCTAAGGTCCTGGTTTAATCCTGACAAATTTATGTATTTTATAAGAAGAGAGTTCTCAAAAATTCTTATGAGAACTCTAAGTAAATAAAAGGCATCACAAAAGATCCTAAAGGATCGGAATGAGAAATGGGTTTCCATCCCTCAAAAATAGTTATAATACCAAAAGCCCTTTGAGGAAATGAAGGAATCCTATATCCTAAATCAAGGAAAGCTGTTACTCTTCATTAATGTTGTCCAAAATCGGTCTTGGTCTTTATCGGTTTTCGGTCTTTTGGTTTGGCAGTATCTGTTTTCAACAGATCTAAACGTTTCTGAGTCTGTTTTAAAGCCTATTGTTTGAAAAGTAATTACATGTCTGACAAAATTGTCAAAAATCATCTGAATTGTACCAGTTTCAGCAAAGTTACAGAATATTGTTTTTACAAGCTGATTTTCATCCAAGAAACCGTACCTTAAACATTTCACTAGTTTTTAGGAAACTGAGTCTGATTTAATTGTTTGTTTCATCCTATTGGACACATTTAAAGTTGCATTTTTTTTAAATTGATAGGAAAGTCAAGTGGACACATTCTAATGTTCATTAAAATCGTTGGTAACAATATATAAATTGTCTTTACTCTACAACTCTTCCTAGCATTCCATATAATCGGAGGGTTATCACTATCTTTCATAATTCTAAATTTTATTGATTTAGTTGGACTGCACTATGTTTACGTCAATAAAACATCTAAATATTCTTTTTTTTTTTATCATTTTTCTAAGATTTAAAGTAATATATTTAATAAATAGTAATAAGCTGATAGGTAACTGCAAGACTCTTGCGCAAGACCAAGACCAAGACCATGACCAAATGAGCAAAAACCAAGACTCGTCTTGGTCTCGTATTTGGGCAACACTAGCCAAGATCTCATGATCACATTGTTCACGGGACTTCAAGAACAGCCTAAGATTGAAAATGTGTTGTGTTAACTGAATTTATTCAGATCGTGATTTACGACTTCGGAAAACTCCCTACTAGACAGGGGACCAAGGTTTGTTGACGCAAGACAGACCGAGAACTCCTCGGTCTCATCTTGGTCTTGCGTTTGGACAACATACAACTATATGGACTGTTCATACAACTTCTTTTTTTTAATTACAGCCAATTCGAGGCATAAAAATGCCAGCGATAATCAGCAAGCTGATGAAAAAAGACAAAGGAGGAGGAGGAGAAAAAGGATCCCCTGGCAAACCACCTCCATTTGAAAGTGATAAATGTGTCTCAATATTTCGGTATTATAATTATATATTATAAATATATTATTTGTTATAAATATTATAATAAAGCTATGTGTTTATTTAAATAATTAGGCAATAATTAATAATCTTTATGAAATTACAGTTATGATCCTGAAGAATGCGAACCTCCTTACATCCAGCAATACGAAATAGATACAAAAGAGTATGTTATATCCATTTTTTTTATAAACTCTAATAGACGTATTTGTTAACTTATTAATTATTGGTACTTACCGAATTTTTCGGATTAGCTTAAGATTTAAATTCATAGTTTTAAAACTGTACTCAATTTTCGTAAAGAACAAATGACAATGTTTTGTTTCTGTCTAATCATTTTTAAATACGAAATCAATGTCATAAAAAAAAATAAAATAAAGAATTTTTACGAATATGAGTTAGATCGAAACATCTTTATTTTGGGGAAAATTATGAAGTGTTGTTCTACAAATTAAAGATCAGAATTTTTACTAATAAGAGTTTCTATGATTTTTTAAAATTTTGTTCATGATATTTACAACTGTAAAAAAAAATATATATATTATTGAATTTGTACAAATGAATATAATGTCATGAAAACACTTGTTGAGAAACTACCGACTAGTAGCACTCTGATAATATGCCTACATCAGGAGATCACGGGGCCATCTTCTTTTCAGACACCTGGGAGGGTTATCAGTAGAGACCGGATTTTAATGTTACTACTCATTTTATTCGCTTGCATGTAAAAACCTCGGGCTCGAATATCTATCAGTTTTAGAATCTGTAGACTAACAAATTTAAATTTTATATCGCAAGTAAATTACACGTTTTTCCGTTTTTGGGTTAAATTGTACGATTTTGAATTTTGTTTGATTATTGTACATTTTTAGCTAGATTAAATGAAATATAAATATATGCGTGAGTGTGTGTGTTTAAATATTTACTTTTTTCTTTTACTATCTTGTCCGTATTATATTTATAATTTTAGAAAGAAAAATAATTGGAAGATATATGATTCTTTGGCTGGAAAAGATTCGAATTTAATGTTACACAAGTACGAAGTAAAAACAAGTGCAGGCTGACTATTCTAGAAATATAACTTGCCTGAAGTAATTCAATAAAAAAAAACTTTCTTACTAGATTTTAATTGAACTCTCGCTCTTTCAAAGTATCTAGTTATCAGGAATTGGACAGGAAGCAAGGTTAGAAACTAGAGGGTTGGGATGGTTATGAAGTTTATTAAAAAAAAATAGGTATCTGGATTGTGCTCAATCTGAGACATAAGGAACACTAAGGTCATTATGGATGATTTTATTTCTGATAAAGTAAGGAGCATTGAGGATTTTACGAAGGATTTTGGATTGTAAGAATTGGATACGAGAGGAATTTGTATGGTTTAGTGGAGCATAAATAAACTCCGCAAGTCCAAATAGGCCTAATTATAGTCATGTATATGATCCTTTTCTAATTAATTGGAAGCTTAAGCTTAAATGTTTGTAAAGTAACTGCTGAAGTAGTCAGAAACGTCGAGTAGTTTCTTGTCGTTCAGTCTGGTATGAGGATTCCAAGTTTGTCTCGGTGGATTCCTATGCTCTATAATTTATATTATTTTATTTTATATCTTAAATCGTGTAAGGTTTCGGTGTACTTGCACCATATTCGGTACACCTATACTATATTCAGTAAGATGGTGTTTGACAAAGTGGCAGGATTCTAAAAGACCTCCCATTATGGCAATCTGTCCCATGCTTTAGAATAGCATGGGAAAGCACCTTCACCGCATCGGTATAATAGATAGCCCGAATCGGCATTTGTAATTATCTTTGGATACTATGACTGGAGAATATGTCGCCACTTGTCCTACATTACAGGACATAAGATGCGCTTTAACTGAAACTGATAATTAAGGCAGCAAAATTAGGCATGGTTGATCAAGAAGGCGTTATTCAGGTGTAGAAGACAAAAAGTAAAAATGGTCATCGCGGTCAGCTGTTACAAATAAAAACGTTCTGTACTTTTTATTTAAAACTCTATATTAAACTAAATAATATTTTTTGTTTATTTATAAGCACTGCTATGTCTTATCCCTACAAAAAGGATGATATAAAAATTGCTATGTTTTAGGGTGTTTAATTTTATTTCGGGATGCCACTGGATAATTACTGATGATAATTACTCAGAAAATTAGTAAAATAAATTTGGGTCTATAATATATTTATTGGTCTAGAATTAATTTATTGGATTTCTTTTCTCAAATGCTGGTTTGTGTTTTTCATGCTTTCTAATTACACACATTACCTGTGATCATCATGATATAAATAGGTAGTAGAATTAAAATAACTTTTACTAAAAAACTTATTTATTTCTATGTTTAATAAAGAGTATATACAAATTATATTTATAAGAACAAAATACGTGTTTCAATGAATTTAATAATTAACTGTGAAGGCATGATTGCAGATGGACTGTTTTGAGAATTATATTGCCATGAAATATTCTAACATTGGTAAATTTATTGTTGGGAATAACACTTATCTATTGTATATGAAGTGATGTGGTTGGTAGATTTCATCACTGCATCTGCTAAGTTGAGATCATCTCGTCATGGTTCAAAGCTCTGCCAGGATCATCATGGTCTATGTAGGGCTAAGGCTTCAGTCTTCAAGCCGGAAGAAAATATAAGACCCATCCTCAAGGTCGTTAGTCAACATAAGACCTATCTTCAAGGCCGGACATCATCATAAGACCCCTTTTCTTACTTCTCGGCATATTATATACAAATATTCAGGGTAGGACAAGGATGGTTTTCATTGGTCCTTCACTTCACCCTATTACTTTACAATAACTGGTAACATCCTAAGAGGAACCAGTTACTTAGCCCGTTACTAGTTTACTCTGAGCCTTCCCCAGGGTCCAGGGTCAGGTAGGTCGGTTCTTATCTACCTGTTCCTCCTCCCTTGACGCTGTTTTTGTTGTCAGAAGTCGCTTTCATTGAACAATTTCTTTGAAAACTAATAATTTTAAAAACTTCATTTGCTATGTACATAGCAGTACGCAACGTTTCGGGATCCATTTTAATATCCCATCTTCAAACTACATTTGTCTTTTTTGTAATTATATTTTTAAATGCATATATTTTTATAACTTATGACATTAATAACCGATTGCAAAAGATCGCGTACTTATAAATACAAGAACATTTTGTGGGTGAAACTGTATTTAGTTCTTCATATAACTTAAATAAAAAAAAAATCTTTATTGAGACGTATGTACAAATTTTAATTATTTTTTTTTTTTTAAACAGATCAGGTCATGTAGTCCTTGATATTCTACTTTATATAAAGAACGAAATAGACCCAACCTTGACATTTAGAAGGTCTTGCAGAGAAGGAATTTGTGGATCATGTGCCATGAATATTAACGGAAAAAATGGTTTGGCCTGCATCAAGTAAGTTTTATAATTCATTAAGATTAATTATATATTCTTTTTATTTTTATTTGAATAGTTTTTATTAAATCTAAAGCTATAGAAATAAAATTAAAGCAGTAGGTCAAGCTAAGACCGGTGTTACCTATTTTTACAGTAAAATGTCTATCCATTAAGTATGAAAATGACAATAGATAGTAGGTTGGGAGAAGCAAAATTTTAAGCTAAAAAACTATCCTTTATTCCATACCACATCAAAAGCTTGACTGATGTCAAAGAAAACGGAATGAGAATATTTGTTTTTACTCTAAAGCTCAGAAAAATCTAACAAGGGCGTTATTGTGTTTTATTTCCATTGAAGTTTAACTAATTCGTCTTGGCCTGGATTTTCTCCTTAAATATCGAAGTTATGTGAACTTCACATATATTTTTATATTTTTTAGTTTAAAGCGTTTTCTACTGAGTGAAGGAAAGTATTGGTCACGTAAACTACGAACAAACAACAAGTTGAATTTTTCCTATGGATTTTCTAGTTCCATCCATTTTACGAGTGAAAACATACCTACTAAGAATATATCATTACTATTAGTACAAAAGGTCGTGTGTAAAAATTTTCAACTTTTATTCTATTTGTGATAAAAGTGACATTTTGTAGTCTGCAACTGATATAAGAAGTCTGCTACAATGGAAAATAGCAGATGGCAATAAAATATGAAATTATACTAATAAAGCATAACGAAATAATGAGTTTTTATGAGCTCTTGGAAAACAATAAATTTTTACATACGACCTTTTGCACTAACAATAGTGAAATGCATGTTGAGTATGCATTTTTTTTGTGTGTTTTTAATTAAGGATAATCAAAGATGGAATCTTGAAATAACGGTAAACTTTTGAATTTTAATATTAGCTGATATACGAAATTCGTGGATGTCAAACCCGCGAATGTTGAAGGGTAACTGTATTTCCGAATCAGCTTCTACCAGAGATTTTATTCTCATACAAAAAATTGTATACCTTGTAATATTTCAGTCAATAAAAACGGTGAGGAAATTATACTGACCTTACTTGGCAAACGTTTTTTATTTTTGAATGGACAATTTTTTATTTTCACTGAATATTATATTTTGGTTTTATGTCAGTGAATTTCTATACTCTTGTTGCTCCTATAGATACTAAATAGTGTAAACATTAAAAAGGGGGATTATTTATCTATTTTCTATTTTCATTAATTCAATATTTATATTTAATATTTTGTTGTGCATGTTTTGTTTTTTTTAATTTACAGGTCTCATTTTTTACTCATAATTTTTAACCTTCTTTCCCATCATTTAATTTTATTCGTATTTTCCCCACCTGTAAGGAATCTCACCGGAGAAAGAGTTTTATTTTAATTTCGAAATACTCCTGACCCCAACAATGTGCCTCCTCAAACATTTTTATGTAACTCCCTCCTGGGATTTGGACCCCTTCATCGGATTTCCAATTTCTCCGTATTTTTGTTCTGATTCCTTAAAACTGTTATCAATATATATATATATATATATATTTAATAATTCAGGGAATATGCAGCATTCCTGAAAAAGAGTCTGATATTCCTGAAATTCTTATGAATCTTTAGAATCACTGATACAATTTTTATTTTATATCTTTCAACTGCAGAGGGGCGGAGATTGAGCCCAAAAGGCGAGGAAGGAGAGGATAAAAAAAATATATATTTTCTTTCTTTATTTCTTTTATCTTTCCCACTACATCAGTGTCAGTGCCAGTCTTGTTCAATTCAGAAAATTAAAAGTTGGAATATAGATAATAATATTTTATATGCCTAAAAATGCTCACTTTCAAATAAAATTTTATACTAGGCAACTAATTGCAGTTCATCTGAATAAGATAAGACTTCTATCGTTAAGAAAAATGAATCGTTAATATTAACCAATTAATGACTAAATTCTTGTCTTCCGTCAGATCAGCACCTCCAGGGGACCTGATAATCTACCCACTGCCTCACCTCTACGTTGTTAAGGACCTCGTCACAGATCTAACCAACTTCTACAGGCAATATAAAGAGATCCAACCCTGGCTTCAGAGGAAGGACGAGAAAGAATTCTGTGAAGGCACCAGGCAGTTGAAGCAGAGTATCAGAGACAGGGATAAAATTGTAAGTAATGTTGCCCTAAATCGGTCTTGGTCTTGGACTTTGCAAGACCAAGACCGCCTAACTAAATTAATGCCTAATTAAGGCAAATTAGTTACTAATACATGACAAATTTAATTATATATGTAAACAATTGGTATAAACATAATACTTTTGCATTTGGCTCTTGCGATATTTCATTTGGGCTTAGTTTCGTTTCTTCTACCTGAAAAATTACAGTAATGTCTCTATAAGCTACAGTAATAGATGGAATTTGTGACTGGGCAAGAACAAACAAGCTGAAGTTGAATGCGGATAAGACAAAGGCAATCTTAATAGGCTCCAATAACCTCCTTAAAACTGTTCCTACTATTCCAACTCTGTTCCTACATAATAACCCCATCAAATTTCACCTCACCATAAAAAATCTTGGAATAACCATTGATCAAACGCTTTCTTGGAAAAATCATATTTCCCGCCGTACCATTTCCATCCTAAAACGTCTTAACTACTCCCGTCACCTATTTCCTTTTGAAACCCGTAGGCTCCTAGTCACTTCCTTAATTTTTCCCCACTTTGACTATTGCTGTACGGTATATGGGGGCCTCTCTGGGGATCTCGAGGCGAAACTAAAACGTTTGATAAATTGCTTTGTACGATTCATCTTCGGGATCCCAAGGGACGCCTCTGTTTCCCATCTATCTTTACGCGGAGTTAAATTGGCTTTATCCTTCCTACCGTCGTAAGTATTTTCTGGCATCCTTCCTCTTTCAAGTCATCCAATCCCACCGTCCCTCATACATCTCCGAGCTCCTTCAATTCAAATCCTCTGTTCGTTCCCGCAATACTCGTTCCCGGTCTTCTGATTTATACATAAGGGCCCACCGAACCGCTGCTTTCGACAAATCGTTCATTATCCGATCCTCATCTCTATGGAACTCCATCCCTTCCCATATCCGTCAATCTAATACCCTTCCTACCTTTAAATCCCGCCTGTTCAATCATTTCTTATCCATCCAGTCCCCATAAAATCGTAAATAGATACTACTGAAAATATGTACATAAGTTATTAGTTCGTTCTTCATTATTTGTTCTCCAATTTTTGTTTATCTATTTTTTTTTTCTCTTTTATTATCAACTGATCAAAATTGGAAAGCAACTTATATGTATATGTGTATATATATATATTTTTTTTTAACCAAAACTGTTCAATTACTCTGTATTTTTATTTATATATCTCTGAGGCTCCTTAGCCCTCATTTCTGTCTTCCTGTATTATTCTAAAGGGACTCGTCCCAGAATAAATAAAGTATTATTATTATTATTATTATTATTATTATTATTAATAAGCTAATAGGTAACTGCAAGACTATTGCGAGGCTCTTGTGCAAGACAAAGACCAAGAACAAGACTGAGTGCACAAGACCAAGACCAGTCGTAAGTGTACCAATGTCTACGTTGGTTGCTAGGTTTACATACAAAGCCACAAACATCCATTTAATCAACTTGAAAATTTTCAAAATTAATCAGTTTATCAAAGCCATTGAATTTTTTAAAAGGAACCTATCCTCTGACTGTTCAACTGTCGCACATTTGCGTTTAAATTTAAATTTTAGATAAATTTAAAATCGGTAATTTATGAGAAAAGTCTTATAATTTATTTTCGGGGCAGTTCATTCGTTTCTAAATCGATTTTGTAGAGATATTGTAACTACTGTTCCATAGTTTTTATTTTACTTTTTTTTTTTAATAGCTTATTTTAGAGTGCTACCAGTGGTTAGTTTCTCAACAAGTCATTTCATGTTTTTATTTTCTGTTATCAAATTTACTTAATGTATTTAATTTTTTAATACAGTTGTAAATATCATGTATAAATAAATAAATAAATAAAATAGCTTATTTATTGAAATATATTACAATCTGTCTCAGGGACATTAATAATAGTGTTCACAGATCACATTCACACTCTATGTACAGTAAATAAAATAAATTATACAGAAAAATAATATATATACAATGAACAAGAATAAAATAACCTAAAAATAAATAAATAAAAAGAACACATGCGCACCTATATACAATATTTACAACTTGGCGAGAGGACTCCAAACAAGACTTGTCCCTCCAACTGTGGAGGGAAAAGTATGACTCCAGGAGTTCCCTGCACTCCTCTCTCAACCGCGTCACTAGGGCTAAACCCAGTGGAGATTGAGCAAGAGTGCTTTAGCCACATACACTCATGTCGTGAGTGGAGAATCTGGCCATTGCCAGAACTCCAATATTTACAAACTATAAAAGATCGCGGGGCCACTGCCGTTTTAACCTCCTTGGAGGATTATATGGATGGGTGGTGCTGGATAGAGATTTTGCAAAGGGATTTGGATGATGGGTAAGGTTCTGGTGGAATTTGGAGAATTTTGCTGGGATAAGGTCTAGGACAAATGGGATATTAAGGTCATGGTGTAGGGTTTTGTTGGTTACATAGAAAGGAGCATTGACTATTGTTCGAAGGACTTTTGATTGGAAGGATTGGATGCGTTTGATGTTAGTAAATTTTGCTGTTCCCCACAGTTCAAGTCCGTAAGTCCAGATAGGTTTCAGTATTGTCTTGTAGATCAGTAACTTGTTTTCAATGGAAAGTTTTGATTTTCTGTTTAGTAGCCGGTATAGTTGTCCGTATCGTCGGTTTAGTTCCTGTCTTTTAAGTCTAGTATGAGGGTTCCACGTTAGTCGTCTGTCTAAGAGAAAGCCAAGGTACCGGACTGTGTCCGAGAAAGGAAGCTGAATGGAATTAAAGTGTACTGGTGGACAGGAACTGCGTCGGAGCGTGAAGGTGATGTGTTGGCATTTGGATTCGTTTACTTTAATTCGCCATTTATTACACCAGTGCTCAATCAGGGAGAGATGTCTTTGAAGGTTTAAGGATGCTATATCAGGATCTGAGTCGGATGATAGAATGGCGGTGTCATCAGCAAAAGTTGCCAGGAAGGTATCGGGATGGACAGGGATATCAGCGGTAAAGAGGATGTAAAGGACGGGACCCAATACGCTACCTTGAGGAACACCTGCCTCAATTGGATAGCAATTCGATAATTCACTACCGCAGCGAACTCGGAAGGTACGATCTGAGAGGTAGGAACGGAGGACAAGGTACAAGGACTGAGGAAGATAGGTTTTCAGCTTGGGAAGAAGCCCGGCGTGCCATACCCGGTCAAAAGCTTGAGCTATGTCCAGAAATGAACCCGAGCAATATTGCTTGCCACTCGGACCACTCGGACCACTCGGAGTCCTTGTTGGACTGTGGAGTGTTGTGAACGGAATCCGAACTGATGTGAAGGAAAATTTTGGGACTCTATAAAGGGTAGGATTCGTTTCAGGAGGATCTTTTCAAAGATTTTTGAGAGAATCGGAAGTAGGCTAATTGGTCTGTAGGACGTTGAGGTGTTGGGAGGTTTGCCTGGTTTCGGAAACAGGATAATAGTGGAATGTTTCCACAAGAGAGGAAAGTGGGTGGTTCTTAGGATGGCATTATATAAGTAGGTGAGAAATATATCAGCTTTAGGAGGAAGTTGTCGAAGGATTTGAGAGGTAAGGAGGTCGTATCCAGTATTAGGTAACTTCATTCTGACATATAATTTCCTTCTTGGCCTATAAATGAATATGGTATCTACAGGATTAGCTAAATAGCTAAAGGAGCTAGTTCGAGCAAGAATTTTATTTTGTCCTTCATATAGAGAGATAGCTACTAAATAAGAACACGTAAAAAATTTAGGGTGATGTGGGATAAACGTTTTATAAGATCTTGCAATGTTGAGTTAATGTAAACGACTTTATCACAGCAGCCTAAATAATATTTATGATAAATGAAAATTAAATTTCTTTTAGTAACTACTATACATAGTAGTTTGATGAAAAAATAACAAAAACTTAATGCCCGAGAGGCACTTAAGGAGAACTGTAGGTATGAACACACTGAAAGACATCATCAGAGAACCGACTTTGGAGCGATCTGGTCCAGTCCATAAGTTATGGAACGATTTGTTTCAAGCATTTAATAAAAATTTATAAAAACATTAGATTTTTAGATTTATTTCAGGTTTTAAGGCGTTCTGTCGCACAAATAATAGACCAAAATTGCTAATATTGAATAAGTTGTTTTACCATTTTGTCAATTTATTGCAAAAAGTTACTAAATAGATTTTTTAATAGGGCTGAATTTTTTACAACGATCTTGTGAATTTTGACCTTATTTATCAAAAATAAAATAAATGCAATAAAATTACATTAAGTTTTCATTTATTAAACTAGGGGGTAGGGGTATCCCTTTCCGCATAATAGCGGACCAACCCCGATTTTATAAATTATACGACTGTTCATTTAATTTGACTACTCGTTGCTCGAATAGTATAACATTAATTTCATGTATTCTGTAGTTCAGATTGTATTTTTTTTATCAACATCAAATAAACGTTTCGGATACATTTTTTATTTGTTTAAAAATTTATATTATACATCGCGCCTTATAGTCAATTTATATTATTATATATGTAATTATTCTTATTGCTAATTTGTAACCATAATATATATATATATATATTCATCTTATTCAGCTTCATATAAGCCCGAAAATAATTTGAGTCTTTTATTTCTAATATCTTCATTGTTCGTTATATTGTGCTTCCTCTTCTCTTTCGTAATAATTATAATCATATCACAATATGATATAAATAATATTATATATAATATAATAATTGATATATTGTATTCAATCGAAAATGTCTAGATCGAAAAAGAACTGCCAAAAAATAATAAATACTATTACTCGTACAAATTTCTAGTCTAAAATCATTATTTTGTATTAGGAAAGTATTAGGTAACAGGAGCTCAACACATATGTGATTAAATTAACAACTGAAATTAGAACTAATTACAAAGATCCTGTAATGTCTCACTCTTCTAATACTAAAATAAAATAAAATAAAATATGACATACACTAATTTTTTTTATATATTTCACAAATAGAAAATGTATCAAATTTCTTACTTCATTAAGGTTATGAAATGTCTCTTAGAGACTTATGGCAAGAAACCGACGATTTGGTCTTTGAAAAATATTTATTTCGAAGTAATTGTGTTCCTGAAGAACAATACAGGTTAAGACTTGTTTAAATTTGAGCTAAGGTGGTTTTTATTATCATTACTAAATGATGCAAAAGCATATAAGTGTTAATTATTATTTATTGTGATATTTTGTTTTATTAAAGAAACCGAAACCATTTTACAGGAGGGGATGTACGAATGCGTTTTGTGTGCTTGCTGCTCGACTTCATGCCCCGCCTACTGGTGGCACGGAAACCAAGACGATAGATTTCTCGGCCCAGCAGCTCTGCTTCATGTATGTTTATATATATATATATATATATATATATATATATATATATATATATATATATATACATTTCATATCTATATAAAATTATATTATATAAAGCTAGGGAAAAACTCCAAACTATAGACCCACGAATCTCCAACCAATATTACTTTTGGAACGGCCGTATTTCCACCGAGTTTTTTTGGGAATGGATGTTATGTATGCCTTCTACCTTTTTCGTTTGAATTAATTATATTTTTATTTTATGTCATTTAATACGTTTTGTATTATTTATTATATATTAGTATGCATATTTTTTCTTCTTCCTTGTATTTCTGCTAATCGGCTGTATAATAGAACCTTCTCATTCCTTCAGTATGTATTTTTTCTTTCTCGATATAAGCAATCTTATAGTGATCTTTTTAGTTAGGTTTTTCTACCCCGATGATGCCTGAGTTGGCTAACCATATTGTGTATATATTATATGTGTATAATCCTAAGTTGACTAGTTAACTATTCCCCTGTACGTTGGAGATTCATGGCTATGTAGTTTGGATTTTTCTAGAGAGAAGAACTTTATTTTCATATAAAATATAAAATCTTGCTGCCCAATTATATTGGGTTGCTAGACACACAGCATACTGGTTAATCCTTATATATAATAACAAATAAAAAAGTAACTTAATTTTTTCATTTAGGCATTGCAGATTTTATTTTTTAGGCATACCGTTGGATTATTGATTCAAGGGACGAATTCCACTGCCAACGATTGGAAAAACTGAAGTCAATGTGGAATCTCTACAGATGTCACACAATCTTCAACTGTACTACAGCATGCCCAAAGGTATGATTACCATTAACAAATATTTGATTACATATATATATATATATATATTTTTTATTCATTGAACTTTAAAAAATTCTGTCACTTGGACATTGGTTATAGTGAGTTAAGATCACATTCACACTATATGTACAAAAAAAAATATATCAAATAATCTGAAGCAAAATAACAAATAAATAACAATCAAAGCATATACACAATAAGTAAAATAAAATAACTTAACTACAAGGAAATAAAAAAAACATACACATTATATAATTGACTTAAATTATAGATAAAATCTTATGCCGCTCCAAAACAGCCAGATTTATATTTTGCTGGTATTTATTGATGGATAATTATACGGCTGCAAATATTTTGTATGACAAATGATCTTAGGCTATTCACTATCACTTTCAGTACAAAGATAATACAAGTTGTAAAATAACTAAGCAATCGATAACTAATTCACAAGTTATACAACAATGTTCTATTTTAATTATTTACATAAATAATATATTTGTTCACATGTTACTTTTCTTTAAATTTACTTTTCTTCTTCTTCTATTAAATTATATTTACTATGTTACATAATATAGCTATATGGTATCCCTTGTCGTAAGTATTTAAAATTATTTTGTTGTAATGACAAATGATTCGGAAAAAAAAATGCATCAGAAGTATATGATATAGATATATGTAAGTATGTAAGCAAAGATAAAAATACGGAACTCCAGATAATAGAATGGTAATATAAACATTAATAGTATATGAAGAAAAAAAATATTGTATCGTATTTCAACTATTTTTATAATTCAAAAATTCAACTGACTTATTCTTAGTTCGTTTGCATCAGGAATATTTCTTTTTTTGTATTAATTATTTATTCTTAGTTATATAATATAATATATTTTTTTCTGTACTATTATGTATACCCCCCTCTGTTTATCTTGACTTATTTATGAAATCAAACCCAATGTACTAAAAAGATATTGACCATTATTTATTATGACTTTTTTCCATCTTTTTACTAACTGCATAATGCCATGTTCATAGAATGTCTGAAGTTTATTGTAAAAAAACTGATCCAAGTAGTTTTTGATGTCCTTTTTCTTTTGGAATTTCTTTCCATTCATGGACTTCTGCAGATACTGGAATAAGTGGTAGTCATTTTGAGCTAGGTCTGGTGAATAGAGAGCGTGGAGCAAAACGTCCCATCCAAGGCTCAATAATTTATTGCCAGTGAAGAACGAGGTGTGGCCTTGGTGGAACACAACAACCTTCCGATCATTCATAACTCTTTAGGATGTTCTCCAAATTCGATGTTACTATATGTGTCTAAATGCTGAATTATTGCTCTTCAAAGCCGTATGAATAGTTTTTTTATTTAATGCCTGTGTAGTTTATGTTGCCCTAAATTCCTTCTAAATTTCTTGTAGATAGCTAAAGCCGCATTGAAGTTATAACATTTTTGTGGTATTCGAAAAAAACCATGTGAGGAACCCATTAAGCCTGGAAACATAACCGAGCTTGTTCAAATGGTTTTCCACGCTTGTGTGCGACACGTTTAAGGCCATATTAATCTCTCGCACTGATTGGATGGAATTTTGATCAAAAATAACTATTTCAAAATTTACTTTGCATGCAATATTATGGTTCGTTTTCGTTTGTTGTTACTTGATTAGTAAACGTACAACATAAATTTAAAATGCCTGCAAATGAGCGTTGGAACTCGTGGATATTATTTAGGTTGATGTTTTAATAATGGAAATTTATTCATTACGTAATTTCTCATTCATGTAGAGCTTCTTCTTTTTACACGACGCTACAACTCGTGTTGAATCAGGGTTTCCTGCAGCTCCAACCAGCCAGTTATCACTGAGAAAAGCAACTGTCTTCCAATCGTTGACTCCAGGGATAGCTCGGCCTACCTAAGATTTGATATGCCTACACGTCAAGTTATATTCTACAATTGTACAGCACTCCATATGAAAATAACGTGTTCCTCCCTTCCCTCACTCCTCTAATAAGTTTCTCAATATTCTCTAGGCAATCGACGGACGTGTCCAGCCCATCTTATTTCCGATCTTTGCTATTCACACAACATCGATATTAGTCGTGCAGCGCATGGTTCGTTCGCATTTGCCAGTTTGTAATTTAGTATTAGGCCAAATAATCTTAAAACACAATGTTCAAATTGAGGAAGAGTTTCTTGAGTTCTTGATATCGTCCATCACTCCGAACCTTATGTTAAGACTGGCCTAAACAATATATTATCCAACCGCAATGTTTGGTTGAGATTACTTGGAAGATGTTTCAGTGTTTTACGTGTTTTTGAAGACTTAAATGGGCTCTGTTTGCGGTCGTAATACATTTCTGGATGTCTGCATTCATGTCATTTGCATATGTGCCTTGGCATCACATAGGAGCCAAGGTACATAAACTCAGAGACAGATGCAGGTTAATAATTTTCTTATATTTTTCCTTACTAAATATCCTTTATTATTCCAGCACCTGAACCCAGGCAAACTGATATCCAAGCTAAAGCTGATGGCTTGTGACAAGTTGATCAAGGAGATACCGGACGTGGAGCAAGACAACGAACTGTATGATGCAGACGAGACAGCTAGAAAGACAGCAGCAGCGGGACCTCCAAAACCTAAAGAAAAGAAGAAGTAGAATACTTCAATAATTTTTAAAAAAAGAAATAAACTGCTAGCCTGACATAGCTTTTATGATCGATTTGTGTCTTGGGTTTAATTCATGAGAATATATATATTACATCTATAATACCAGAAAAAATTATAGGTATATGCTTCAATTCTTAATTAATTGTAATACTTCCATAAAAACTCTTCAATAAGAACATTTTTCTACTTATTTACGATGCTTCAGAAATAATGGATCTCTTTTCAGGTGATTTAACTACAATAATAACAATAATAATATGTTGAATATTTAATAGTTGACCGTTGTATTATAAAGGGAGGAGATGGTCCGGGGTGGCTGTCATAAATAGGCTAACTAGTGGTAAAACTATTTTTATTAAAAGCCAACGTTTCGACCCGACTTTGCAGGTCTTCTTCAGGGCTAGCACGGACAAGATACAAAAAGATAGAGAAATGTGGAAGTTACATAATATTTAGGTAAACAATTATAAACAATGTGAATAAACTTATTAAAATTATAAACACTATGTACATTAAAATATGACCAGAGTAAGATAAATAACACGATCCTAAACTGAAGTAAATAGATGCTAACAATTGTTGTAGTGTAATGTATAATAAATGCAAATGTGAATATAATTCTACAGATTTACAGGAGAGATTGTAATAAAAGGAAAAATGATATAATATGAAATGATATACATAAAGGAATGTGGAGAAAGAACAGAAAACCAAAAAATTAAATAAATAAGTAAATAAAATTGTAAGAATAAAATTAGAGACTTAAAGATGTTTTCAGCTAGGAGTTAATTTTTTGGTTTTCTTTTCTTTCTCCACATTCTTTTATGCCTATTAATTCATATTATATCCTTTTTCCTTTTATTCCAATCTCTCCTGTAAATCTGTAGAAGTATATTCACATTTGCATTTCTTATACATTACACTACAACAATTGTTAGCATCTATTTACTTCAGTTTAGGATCTTGTTACTTAGCTTACTCTGGTCATATTTTAATGTACTTACTGTTTATAATTTTAATAAGATTATTCACATTGTTCATAATTGTTTGCCTAAATATTATGTAACTTCCACTATTCTCTATCTTTTTGTATCCTGTTCGTTCTAGCCCTGAAGAAGACCTGCAAAGTCGGGTCGAAACGTTGGCTTTTAATAAAAATAGCTTTACCACTATTTAGTCTACTTATGACCGCCACCCCGAACCATCTCCTTCCTTTTTAATAATAATATTTATACACCACTCATTAATGTCTTAGATGAAATTATGTTTAATAATATAAAGTAATATATGCATTCATTGCAACATGTTTATTTTCCTTTTCCTACATCTGGTACGTTACGGTTATGATATACATTTAATTTAACAATGTTCTTCGTATACACAATTTTAACTATTATTTATGAGCATTTACCCAGAAAAAAAATATTCTTCATTTTAAGAGGACTTTTCGTGATATCTGACCCTGATGAGGCCTGAACTTTTGGGCGAAACTTCGGCAAAAATAAAAATAAATACGATTTTTTTATTTTTACTTTTTATATTTGACTGAATACCCCAACCAACTTCTCTTCAAAAAATATTCTTGTGCGGCACTTCATTTGGATATTAAATAAACTTAATAAATAAATAAATAACAATAATGAAAACGAATAACACTAATAACAGACGAATACATCAATATTTCAAAATAAGCATCCAGAAATTACAACCATTATAACCTAATAAATGAAGTATTAAAACAATTCAGAGAAAAATACAACGAACGGCCATCAGAGGGATCTGGGGTCAGAGTTTTATATAGAGGAGAAGGACTGATAAAGAATGGCTTGCTAAAATTGGGCAATCAATATACCATGATATGACGGCAAGGAGGTTAAGATGGGCGCGACATATAGAATAGTATGCAAAATACAACGTGGAATGATAAAAAGTGGATAAATCAAATCAACAAAGAACAGAGCTGCATGCAGATAACTAGAATGAAGTCGCACAAATTTAGCAGAGCAAAATCTAAGTCATTTAAAGCGGGAAAAAATCTCCAATGTCAGTAATGCCTCAAGAAGAAAAATGAAATCACAAATAATCTAAAGTTGGGCTTTATTAATATGATTTAAATCTTTTAAATAATTTGAAAGAAAAAGTCAATCATCAATTTACTAGTATGGGTACCGTGTGTGTGATGTTTTATGTATTGACCTCCTGACCGTTAATCATTATAATAATATTCTTATTAAAAAATTATAATAGAAAAACTAGCACCGTTGAGAGAAAAACAAGCACGAGAAGTTATGCTGATAAAATAGGATATATTTATGTATGTATGGAGAGGGGTACTTAGACCGACAACTTCAAACTTCAAGAATATTTAATAAGAATTCAAGAATAAGTTCACAATATGCTTAATACAATTCTTTTTACCATATTCTTCTTACCATAAAATAAGCTTTACAATAAATTTTATTTATTATAAGTAATTAGTTAATATAGAAGTTGTTTTGCCTTAGGGTAGAACATTATACCACTAATAATTTTTTTTTCCAGCACAATAGTAGTTTTATTTCATTATAATAATTTTATTCACCTTCAATGGCATTTAAAACAATAAAATATACAACTGCACTTACCCCAAGAATTAAACTGAAACATAAGTTTTATTTTCTTAAAACATAATTAATAGACTATGAAAAAAAATTGCAAAAAAAAAAGAAAAACAATAGAAACAATTCATACTAAAAATGAAGTACTCATAAGCTGTACCATATTAATTAAGTGACCATTTTATAGAGATAATATACTGACCAGAAATATAATAAGACAACCATAACTCATTATAAAAAAATTATTATAGAAAGTGATTGTTTTCTTTAAATTATTGAAAGATCGTCTCAAGTATTTTTTTGACGTTTAAAGTTTTAAACTCTAGTTAAAAGTAAACACTCATTAAAAGTTTTCACGAATTTGCAATCACTCATAGAGATCTTTTTAATGTCGTTATGTTTAATATTTCATTACTAAATAATAAATACTGTGCTCAATAACTAATGACTAGGTGGACTAATTCAAATACGACGAAATTGTATGAAAACTGAACACTTGTAAACTTATACGAACTAATGTGTAAGCTGATAATGTCGTTAAGAACCCAACACGTCTTAAAAATAATAAAATGAAAAATATTATATTATTAAGAAATAAAAAAAATAGGATGTTTAAAAGATTATTATTTTTAAAAACGTATTTACTTTCACGTGTAAATTCAACAATTTCAAATAATTTTATCAAAATTAATTTATTTTATTTTTAATAGAATTTTTATTCACAAAAACATCTAACGAGATTTCAATCTCTTTTGCCTATTGTCAAGCCGAAAATATGTATTTAGCACTTGCGGTGTTTTTGTATAGATAACTAAGGTCGAAATTCACTAATACATATTTGAAAGTTAACCTATATCAAAAATATACCTTTGGAACCGACGATATTTGAAAAATAATATTTGAGAATTTATGAGAGAAGAACATGATTCAGTGACTATTTAAAAAATGTTAACAGAAAAAGTGAGTAGAGGTAAATAAAATAGCATATTTAGCAAAACAAAATATGACCCATTGGGGTAATCTTCTGTTTCCTTTTGTGTTAATTTTAAATTTTTAACATATTTAGTTTTATTTTAAGATAACTTTAGTTATTTTTGGACGATATTATGGGAAAAAAATATTGGGAAATAAGTTTCTAATGGAGTGGCATACAGCTCTGGATTCTTTCGGGCTAAAGTCACTCCAATACGTAATTTTTTTTTAATTGGTCCATATTTTTCCCTCTCTCTGCTAAATACTTATATAATAACAATATGTTCTATTTCTTAAATTATAATACATGTTTTATGAAAAAAAAGTATTATTGTTCATATAGATAATTAGTTTTTATTTTTCTACTCAATTAATTATCGTTATATATATAACAACTTTCTGACTGAAATCCCCTCAAAATTTAATCCAGAATCCTCTATTGTCATACAGGAATATTGCTTTGTTTCAGGTAAATAATATAAAGACTATGATTAAAATGGTGTAGGTATGTTATGTTATGGGATGTTGACATGGCTAATGAATGTTCGTTATGTATTCACTAATAAGTGTATTGTTACTCGTAACAATACCGAGAAATTTTATTTAAGAATAAAATGTTTTTGTGCATGGAATGAATCAGTGTTATTCAATGGAGCAAGCATTACCTCAGGCTTCGTGGTTCATCAATTCCAAAGCGCTTGGATCACGTATCCCGTTTCCAAACACATGTTCACTAAGCGGTGCGATATAGGATGATATCTCTCAGAGCATCTAATGCTCGTACCGTTGATAAAAACTTTAGATAAGTGATGGCGATATTCGGTTATTAAGCATATAGAGATAATTTTCAGAGGTAATATGCACATTTTATTTTTTAAATTAATGAATGTTTGCTCAAGATTAAATACAGATTCTCATACAGAAAATACAAATCTGTAGATTATTTGGATACCATAATTTTATTTCATTATTTCAAAACAAATTTTATGGTCAGTGGTACAGACCCTTTTTTATCAAATTATTAACACCCGGCTGAAAATTTGTAAAAGGTTCATCTTATATAATCGAATATAATGGGCTGAGATACGGGCTATTATAATTAATAAACATTTCGGTTTAAAACATGAAGGAATTTTATAATATTTGTTATCCCTTGGTCTACTATTTCAATTACCGAGTTCTCACGATGCGTTTAATATTTCCTTATTATTCCGTCATTTTTTCACTGACTAATATTTTTCCCAATCTTTCGGACGAAACTAGTTTCGTTTAATTTAATTATATGTGCTAAAAAAAAAAATTGATCGTTTTTCGAATTCTACGTTTTCTGAAAGTGAAACCTCAAATTTTGTGGGAGAGGGAGGAAGACTTAAGTTTTTGATTTTTTTTGTTTTATCACAATCGTTCTTTATTGAAAAACAGTAAACCAAAAATATTTAGAAATCGGGATATCTTCAGTAATAGTGCTTTGATTGCGATGAAACTTTCTTCATTTTTTAGGAAATTAAAATACCTTTTTTGTGTTATTCGGAATCTA